CGAGTCATTTTAGGATCTATCAAATAATCGTTACGGCCATTTTGACCGCCATTTTATCCTACACCTTTTCAACATGCTCGATTTGCATGAATCTCAAAACTGGGAGTCAAGTACACAAAGTGTCATTGCAAAAAGGATTGCCGAATAATCCCTAAAAGCTTAAATTTTTACAAGTGTCGAAAATCCGTGAAAAGTTTTACAAGTGTCGAAAATCCGTGAAATTTTTACAAGTGTCGGAAAATGTGTGCAATAGCAAAATGTGTGCTATAGAGGGTAAATATCTCTTACTTGTGTCCCCTGTTAGAACATTTCTTACAGATGGGAAGAGCCTTTAACCGTAAGTTTTCTAATACTAGATCAGAGTTTACCCACAACCGTTTGCACAATCTTGCAAGTTATCGTGTTGACTTGTCTTCCTGCTAAGCAGGGGCGGTGGTAGCAGGGGCGCGGGCGGAGGTAGCAGTAGCTAGGGCCATAGCAGCAATAGCAGCAAATGATATCCCACTACTTGGCCTTTTACTGCCAATGTAAGCACCGATTGGGAATCTTACGACCGATTGGGAATCTTACGACCGGTGCTCCTTGTCTTGAATGTTGAAAAGCCGGAATCTTGTTGATGATGTCAGCAACTAGGTTTGCACTTGCCTTTAGGACCGCTGTGGCTTTATCCGCATGAAATTATTGTCTGCATCGTCACTCTCAGAGCTTTCATCATCAGCTGGAGGATCTCTTGAACTGGACGATAGCCCTAATTTACAATGTTTGAAGACCTTGATCTTGCCAAGTTCCACTCCTTCTCGCAGACCGTCTTTTAGTTCATTTACACTTGTGTCCTTGCCCTGATAACCTTTGTTTTCTTAAGTAGTGGTATTAGTGTCTTTCCACGAGTGTGGGCGACATCTGGCTCCAGGATGTGATTTAAATCTTAAAAAAGATTAAGAAATACGATGATCTAAATAAACATAAAAGAAAAATGAAGACAAAAAAACAAGTACAACATCAACTTAAAAATTAAGATTTTTTTAATAAAGAAGATATATATATGGAAGTTAAAAATAGCGAAATTATAAAGAAAAAGATTCAGATTGAAAGATATAAAGATATAATAAGATAAAAAGATATTATATAAAGATATACATAATAATAATAAGAAAGATATCTAATAAAGGTAAAAATAAGTTTAGCTTGGTTTCTGCTCATTTCCTCAAGCGTCTGTCCCTGCAAGAAAACAACAATTTCAAGAAAACAACAATTTTATTTAGTATCAATTAAAGCAAACAAAAATATATTTCATATATATTATATAACTAGCACGAACGGACTTGGAGTAGCAAGAGATTGACTAGAAGGTATATACCGGCGTAGGTCAAGGACAGAAAAAACTGTTCCGGAATGCGTTCTTCTTTTCAATCTTTCTCCATCTGGCTTTTCCCACTGTTCGTACTCTAACATGCGTGTTAGAGCGTCCAGGTCTTGCTTTTAGCTTATCAAATAGTTGGAGATCCTTGCAATCCTTGCAGGTCTGGAGCATACAGTGTTCATTATCTGAGTCACAGACTATGACTTGAACAAGATCTGTTGTGGATTTAGGGAGCCACGGAACAGCATCGATATATTTTCTCTAGCTGGTGCAGTGTTTCAAGAAGGTTTCTTAAAGTTCGTGATAATAAAATCATGTGGATAAATTAACAGTGAGGTTCATACAATGTCGAATGATAAAAAAGGTGAATAAAAAGTAAACTAACTCTCTTAATGGTTGCTGAACCTTAGAAGATATTCCTCGTTTGGACATATTGAAAGGTGTAATAGTAAAACAAAGTAGTATAACGTGACAGTTTAAGACAAATCTGAAGTGTAGAGAAAAGTTACTTACCTGTCAAGTTTACAACTTGTTCCCGTGAACAGCTAGGATTAATAGCAGCAAAACTACTTTTGCCACTTTAGGGATCTTTAATATTAACTGTTTTATACTCGACTTTCGGTTCTGATTGATAGCATTTGAACTCCGGTAATAAGTTGAGAACTTTCAATTCAAGGAACGGTGAATATCATTCTACCTATGAACATTATAAAAGGTTAAAAATTATTACATTGAAGATATAACTGTTTTCGAGAGATATACCTCGTTATATTGGCTACAGTTCTTTGTCTTCTTTTCCTTGCTGACCCCTACGTAGAACACAACCTCCGATGCTATACCTTTCATGTTATGAAATTAAGTAAATTATAAAGTAAAATGTCCAATGTAAATGTAACGGAAATCTTAGTTGTTTTTCTAAGTTTAGGTAAGAGACCTTAGCGTGAAAATGATGGACCCATGAAAATAATGTCTGTGAATAATAATGTCCGTGATAATTAAGTCCGATAAGGTAATTAACAATTAATGCAGAGTATGATTATTGATTATAATACAATTTATCTCCGAACGTCTAATGTCTATACTTCTAAAGATAAAAATACAAATAATCTATATAGGACCTTATACTCTTTAATTTGGGTACATGATATAGAATTACAATCAAAATCTCTATATTCATCAAATCTCCCTCCCATCTTTAGAATCCCCAAGAAATATTTTCTCACATAAGTTAAAAGTCCTAACTTTACTTTTAACTGTTTTATACTTTAACTTTAAATTACTGAACTTTAAATTCAAAGAACGGTGAATAACATTCTACCTATGAACATTATAAAAGGTTAATTATTTAATTAATTACGATAATATAACATTTATAGTCCTCTATAGGGTAACAATTTGTGTCACTTCTGCCTTATCCTGCTCACTGAGCCGGCTTTTGCTGAGGTGACTGTTTCACATATAATAAGAATCATAGAATGGATATAAAATTAATTACATCTTCAGAATCCCCAAGAAATATTTTCTCACATAAGTTAATAGTCCTTAGTTTACTATTAACTGTTTTATACTTTAACTTTAAATTATTACATTTATATATAATATTTATAGTCCTCTATAGGCCAGGGTAACAATTTGTGTCACTTCAGCTTTATCCTGCTCACTGAGCGTGGTTGCACGCTTCTTGGTGGGGGCTGCCGTGGTCGCAGTCTTCAAGTACACAACATCGATATCAGCAACGTCGGTAGATGAAGCTTGAGTAGCAACTTCCAGTGCTTCTTCGAGTCTAAAAGTCTTATGTCCGTATGCTCCAAACGGTAAAGTCGACTTTAAAGCCCATATAAAGCCCAGCTGAGCTTTAAAGTTGTGTTTTGTATAATTTCGCATGCAAACCAAATTTTTACGCCATTTTTTTAAATTTAAAGGGCACCTTGTAAAGCTGACTTTAAACCGGTATGCTCCAAAATTATAAAGGCCAGGTCACCCTTAAAGTTGGACTTTAAACGAAGAAAATTTAAAGTAGGGTCCCAATGTACTTTAAACGACAAGGTCGTCTTTAAATGGCACTAGAACTGTGCCTGATAATTTACAAAATGCGATGCTCAAGTTTTTGTCATACCGAAGGCCATATTTGTCAAACAAAGGAATAAAACTGTCGTATTGTGCAGTAAAATCTTGTAAATAAAAATTGTATATAAAATTGTCAAAAAAATTGTAGGTAGAAATTGCAGTTGTGTATAACTGTACATATCATTTGCATATATTATCAGGTACTAGTATAAATTCAGTTGTCCTCAGATATGACCCCAAAACTTTGGGTGATGAGGTCTGCCAGCTGAGTGTTTGTCTCCAAATCATGCAGCTGGCTGTGCTCTGGTCTCTCTTCACGCAACCTGGAGGTTTCCCTAGCACAGGTTTCCAAAGTGTCCATCAGCTGCATATATCTCTGGTGCCGTTCTAGCAGCAGCGTCTTCTGTAGCTCCATATAGTCCATTCTTAGCTGGTTTCCAGTCTGTGCCTGAGTCTTGGGTATTTTAGAGGCGGCAGTCCCACTGTTACCTGGTGTCTTCATCACGTCAACGTCACGCTTCCTTGTTGCCGTCTCCATGTCATCTGTCTCTTCCAGCTGACCCTCTGGCCGGGAGTCCTCTTCCAAATCAATCACAGTGGCAACAGGGCTCACACAACCAGTCATCTCCACTTTAGTTTCCTTCTCCTCAATTGCGTTATCGCTGTCGTATTCGTTCTTGATTGGATCAAAGGCCCCCATCATGATTCCCAGTATCTTTTCTTCATTCGGGCTCAGATTCAGTTTAGGATTGGGGGCTGCTCCAGTCTGATTTAGATGCCGTTTCAGTGCATCACTCCTTTTCTTGGCAGAAGTTTTCAGATTGTCCCATTTGCTCTTGAGCTGCTCAATACTGCGGTGATTAACACCCAAGTTATTGTTCTATAATGCAAAAATCTCTTTCCACGCTTGATTTTTCAGATTTAAGTTTTTAAATGTGCGATTAGTGGCTTTTGATTCTATAATATCCCGCTTGTCCGCTATCAGGTCCATTGATATCCCTTCTTCTGATTTAGACCAATTTTTCCCCTTTTTCTTACAGTTACCATCAGATTCACTTGGTTCTTTCTTGCACGTTGTGGGTTCCACCTGATCTTTTTCATTCTTCATATTAGTTTGATCTCCCTAAGACAAAATATGTTAATTGTTTGAAAAACGGAGAAATTTTAAGATATAACAACACAAGTGAAGTATGAGTAGCCACTAGCTGGTATGCAAAATATGTTAAATCGAGATAGAATTATGTTATAACGAATAACTACAAGATATTTTACAAGAAATAAATTTGAGAAAGAAATAGGTAATAGCCACAAAGTCAAACATGAACGAAAGAATATTTAATAATTTAATACGTCGTGGCATGATTTGTCATAATTTCTAAATGTAAATGAAGTCATGATTTCCTATTTTACAGTACGGCTCCGCAATATGATTCAATACCTCTATGAAATGTGAAAGGTAGTTGCCATCCAGAACACATGCACTCTACAATAATACTACTTGCAAAAATTAATCAACAAGCAAAAATAAGGTAATAGCTTGTAGAGTTCAAATCTGTTGTGGCCGATAGTTGCACTAGAATCTTTCGACCAAAGCATCCCTAATTTCTTTGCCAGTGAAAACGAAATCTTCGTCAGGAGTGAATGGCTCATCGTCATACAAGTTGTTTAGGTTTAGTTCAGCTTCATTAATAGGGTCGTCTCCTGGCACAGGCTGATTCAAATCAGTGCACAAGTTGTGCAACACAGCCGTAGCTACAATTACCACTGCCGCATTCTCTGGACTCTTTCTAACTTTGTACGACAGCACTGGGAAGCGTCGCTTCCATATTCCGATGGTCTGCTCGATAAAGACCCGACATCTGCACAAAGCGCGGTTGAACCGCCCATGTTGAGCAGTCGAACATGGATAGTCGAATGGAACCAGCAGTTGTTTCGACAGAGGGTATGCAGAATCACCTAAAAGGACTCCTTGCAGTCTGCCCTCCTCCAGATCTCTACAGATCTTGCTATTCTTCCATATCCTGGAGTCGTGAACTGAACCAGGCCATCGTGCCACCACATTTAGGAATTTGTGCTTCTCATTGCACACCACCTGAACGTTAAGACTGAACCATCCCTTTCTGTTCCGGTAAAGCTCAGCAGTTTTTCCCCCTGGAGATTGAATCCAAATGTGAGTCCCATCGACTATACCGGTGACACCAGGGAGACTACTATATTCCAGGAAGAAAATATTGCTTTTAAGAGACTCTTCAGAGCTTGGAGTCTTGATGGTATCCTGTGCAAGTGAAGCTATGATTTCGGATGTAATCTTTATCAGTCGGCTAACTGTCGATTGGTGAAGTCCAAAGAGATCCCCTGTTGTCGATTGAAATCCACCAGTAGCATAGTAACGCAGAGTCACAGCAAGTTGCATGATTGGTGGAACTGACGGGAACCGTCCACGGCCTCTACACTCTTTAAGTTGATTCTCCACTAAACTGAAAATGTACTGGAGTCCATCCTTCTTAAGCCGAAAACGAATGTAGAACTCTGTATCATCATACTGACTCAATGGGTTCATTCGATCTTTCATAGGTCTTCTGACATATTCATTTGGTTCAACGTTCTCAAGCACATCTAATGCGTCTTCCATTGCTCTGACTCGATTCACGACTGACAAAATGGTTTAATTAATTCGAATGAAGTGGCAGAAATAACGATCAATACATTTACTAAACTACCGTACAGAGCTTGCCCTGTCTAAAACGACAGTAAAAAGCAAGCGATCGAGACATGAGTAAAAAGTTAGACTTCAGTAATACAGTAATAAGCTGGAAATAGAGACCACATATATCATATAGCAATAGAGACCACAGTACAAAGGTAGCAGTGGAGAATACAGTACAAAGCTAACAATATAAACCACAGTACAAGTTAACGATAGAGCCTACAGAGGCATGTATCCGAAAATTTGATCTAAGTATTGCACAACCTGAGAGGAGCAAGTTCATTTATCAAACTATCTTATGATTGGTGCGACAGTATGATGCACCCGCTCACTAGACGTAGTGCTGAAGTTAAAGCAAGGAATCTTTTCTGGGTGGGGATGGCGGTGACGACGAATTTATCGGCTGATAGAATTAATTACAATTTAGAGGGATGTTATAAAGGAACACGGAGGAATTACTGAGTCAACATGCCTACACAGTCAGGCTGAAAAATCAAAGAAAAGCTGCAGTAAACCATACCTGAGTGAGAGGAAGTGTGACGGATGTCCCGGAAGGTGTGAACAGGAAGTAAAACTGGGTCTGCCTTATTTGGTCAATTCTCACTCCAAATATGGAGATGATCGTTTTTTAAGAGCAGCTCGTCTTCAAATTTTGGAGCATACCGGCAAAGTAGCTAAAGTTCAGGTCCCCTTTATCGATAAAGATGACCTCGTATTTAGATTTAAAGGCGACCTTTAAATTTTTGGAGCATACGAAAAATTTTAAAGCCCCGCTGTAAAGGGGAGACCAGCTTTATATTTAAAGCCAAGGTCGTATTTAAAAGGGAATTTGGAGCATACGGACATTAGTCAGTCCTATTTTAGGAGATTTTTCTGTGGTCGATTGCCTTTTCCTTTTCTTTATTGGTTTATTTAATATGATTTTTTTGGTTTCTTTGTCTCCCTTTTAGGTACTACGACCGCCTCTTTAGTTTTCATCCACTTCAATCTTGACGATCCTTTTTTCCTTGTAGCTTTTTGTTTTCCTTTAGACTTAGAGTTTACACATCTAATTTTTGTAACAACTATGTTATATGACCAACGTAACGTTCCTTCGGTAGGAAAGTTTGAGTCAACCGATTTTGAGTGGTGAACTTCATATCGTTATTTTCCAGAAACTTTCGTATTTCATCACTCATTTCTTTGGTGATATCTCTTTTTTTCGGAGCTATACTAAGGGGAAATCCCGATGGGCTTCATAGAGGTGATCAGGATATATAATTTCAACCTAAAGTTTATAGATTTTAAGAATCATACAAAACTCTTTTAATTTACGATTAAGAAACAAGCTAATTGTATCATTTGTTAAAAATGAAAATTTCATTGTAATACCTCCCATACCACCCCATAATCTCCAGTAGCATCGAAGTCTTGCACATTAAAGTTTTCTAGTTCATTCTCTGTCAGCCAGCGAAATTGTGAGTGTGGGAGCTTCATCATCATACAGGCACCATACAAGTTATTACAATCCTAAAAAATATTGATTATGAAGGGATGTCTTGTAAGAAATAAATAATAATTGTATTTTCAAAATCTAATAATCAAGATTAACTCACTGTGTAAAATATAAAAATATGCTGGACTTTTTGCATCTTGGGTCGTAATTGAAGTTTGCAGTCTCGTTGTGTGCTGTTGCCAGCCTCTTGAATAAAGAGCTGCAGCCGCCTCTCATTCCTGATAAAAATGATATGTGTTTCAAAAGAAAATGGTTTTGAAATTTTAGCTGATAGATTTAAGCATAGGAATTTTAAAATTCAATGTTTATGTAATTTCATATACCTCTCTCAAAGAAACTGTACATTTCTGAAGTTTGCAGCAGTTCTAACTCCACGTTTGTTGTATGGAGCATTGCATCAAAGGAATAGCTAGGGCTACTAAAAATAAAGTTAAATTGAAATTACAGTTACTGTAATAAGTTTATATCATATGTTATGTAAGTACTGAAGTGGTAGAAATTTGAGTGTTAAAGATCTGCAGCTTTCTTGTCTATAGTACATACCTAATATAGTGCGCAGGGTCTAAGCGAAACATTTTCATACCAAGCCGACGGTAATCTTCAAAGACACAGCAGAGAATGAGTACGTCTATTTTAAGATAAAGATCGTGTAGTTCCCCCAATGTTTCAATTCCAGAAACTTTGCAAGTTTTCAATAGACGCTGATATTCGTCTTCTGAAAGATCGCTTTCATTGAGTTTGTTATAGAATTTACTCCTATCAGGTATCTTCTCTTCGAATCTTGAGAATCCATCAATGTAATCGTAGGGTATACCTTGTTATATTGAGTTTAATTGAGTCTCATTTCTTGGATCTATTGAAATACACTTATTGAATGAAATGTTTATCAAATTGTTCATAATACACATTAATATCACAATTGTCTCATATTTGTATCAAGTCCCTTCTAAGTCGTTCTTATTCCTTTAGAGAGTCTTTAGTCGTGAGAAAACTCTTGAGCAGTGACATATTATCATATCATAAACGTTGTAACCAAGTTTTCTTAAAGCACACTTAAATTTCTCCTCATTGGGAAACTCTTGTCGAACCCAAGTGAATCCAACCTCACCTCGTTGAAGGAGACTAGCGCATAGGTTATCCAAACTTCCGATTAGATGGCTCATAGAGTCATGGATAACAAACAGGGATGTCGACATTTGTGTATACTTCTCAGCTGTTGGCCCCAAAACATCAACGTCTTTTATTCTTAGACTTGCTGCCAAGCTCTTTATTAGAAATGATTATCATACCTGCAAGTGACAAAAATGTATTGTTAAATTCAAGATCTAGATATATTGAAATACCTTTTTAAAAAACAAATAAAATCTGAACAACAATTTACCCTTTCGTGTTGTGAAAGTAAACACTAGTCTTTTTTTCAGTCTTTTCTTTTTTATAGCCGGGGCAGTGACAGGCTGCTTTTCAAATACTTTCAGGGTTACATACCCATTCGTAGTGGCGGCAATGCCTTCATTTTTTTATTCATAGAAAACATGTTCTTTTCTCTCAGTACGATACAACATAAATAACATTTTTCTGACTAAGATGAAGATTTGTTTATTCATTAAAGTTTCTTATCTTTATTTACGGATTAATTATTATTAAAGTCATTTGTGAATCATGTATTTAAAAAATATAATATCTAAGATTTACCATGAATCGGTCTTCTTCATCAGGAAACACACCTCAGTGTGCTCGCCTACAACGGCAAACATTTGCATCGGTTTGCCGTCGTTGGTGGACTTGTTGCGGAGGAACTTGATGACCCCTTTTACATAGGTATATCTCTTTTCGCTTGTAGATTCCATGGCTAAAGTAAACATCGAATTAATATAAGAAACAACTTGAAAATAGTTCAATACTAGTTCATAGAGCAAAACTCAGTCTAAATACATAACACAGTTTTAACAATATAGATGACACTAGGAGACATTTCAAAACAACGGTAGAACTTCAAAATCTAAGGTACAATAGTTTCTCGAACAAAGTGTATTCCGCCGTGGATTCTATTCGGTTTGTCTGTACAGTTTTGAAATGAGATAAGAGAATGATTAAATGGAGAATGATAATAAATTAAAAACTAACTCTCGTGTTGTTTTGAAATGAGATGATAGAATGATTAAATAGAGAATGATAATAAATTAAAAAGTAAACTAACTCTCGTGTTGTTTTGAAATAAGATAAGAGAATGATTAAATAGAGAATGATAATAAATTAAAAAGTAAACTTACTCTCGTGTTGTTTTGAAATGAGACTGTGTCCTCGTCTGCATCTGAAATGAACATTTTTCATATTAGATGAACCAATTCCAAAATTTAAACCATTTCTAATTATTCTTAAACATTAAACTATAGAGTGAGCTAGCTCGTAGGTATATTTTTATACACTGATCAAGTTTCTATTTGTATAGCATTCAATTACAATGTTTTGAAATTTTAATAAAAACTAAATATGTACCATTTCTAAGAAGGTCTTCCAAATCTAAAAATGGAGGGGTTTTGTTTTTACCTGGATTTTTTGTAGTGGTAGGTCGTTTAACTATCTGGAAAATTTTTAAATTGACATACGAGGTAACTTAACAAATTAAAATCACTGTGTAATGCAGCAATGACATGTGAAGATTTTTGAATTTACACGGTGGTGCATGCTTGTCAAAACATGTAGATTTAAGGTTAGAAATACATCTACATCTTAGATCTTGATTTTGCCTGCGTGGCCCCTGAACCCTGGTGATTAATCAATATTACCTTAAATATGAGAAATCGAGGGTTCGGTTACGGTTAGATGTACACACAAATTATATGTTCAAAAGTATAAACTGTAGAAATATATTGATTTCTTTAAAAATAGACTCACTCTTTTTCGGTGTTTTGCTGGGGTTGACTGTTGTACTACTGGTGTGATGATGCTTAACCCAACAACATTTGTGTAAGATTTGCCGTTTACAATCTTTTCAAGAGTCTTCATATTTATCTTACTATTGACCTGTTTGATATTATTTTCTATTACACAAAAATAAATTGCAAATTGAAAATTTGTGTCACAAAAATTTCATATGGTGAATTTGTCACTAATAGTAATTTTACGAGCAGATGTCAGATTTTCAATCTCCTACTTTACACTATAACTGTTTTGAACTGAAATATTTAAAAAAAAACGTTAAAATTTGATCCTTTTGTACGGCAATGCCTTCATTTTTTTATTCATGAGAAAACATGTTCTTTTCTCTCAGTAGGATACAACATAGATAACATTTTTCTGACTAAGATGAAGATTTGTTTATTTATTGAAGTTTCTTATCTTTATTTACGGATTAATTATTATTATAAATAAAGTCATTTGTGAATCATGTATTTAAAAAATATAATATCCACTAAGACTTATCACAAATCGGTCTTCTTCATCAGGAAACACAACTCAGTGTGCTCGCCTACAACGGCAAACATTTGCATTGGTTTGCCGTTGTTAGTTGACTTATTGCGAAGGAACTTGATTTCCCCTTAACGTACGTATATCTCTTTTCTTGGCTTGTCGATTCCATGGCTAAAGTAAAAATCGAATTAATATAAGAAACAACATGAAAATAGTTCAATACTAGTTCATAGAGCAAAACTCAGTCTAAATACATAACACAGTTTTAACAATATAGATGACACTAGGAGACATTTCAAAACAACGGTAGAACTTCAAATTCTAAGGTACAATAGTTTCTAGAACAAAGTGTATTCCGCCGTGGATTCTATTCGGTTTGTCTGTACAGTTTTGAAATGAGATAAGAGAATGATTAAATGGAGAATGATAATAAATTAAAAACTAACTCTCGTGTTGTTTTGAAATGAGATGAGAGAATGATTAAATAGAGAATGATAATAAATTAAAAAGTAAACTTACTCTCGTGGTGTTTTGAAATGAGATAAGAGAATGATTAAATAGAGAATGATAATAAATTAAAAAGTAAACTTACTCTCGTGTTGTTTTGAAATGAGATAAGAGAATGATTAAATAGAGAATGATAATAAATTAAAAAGTAAACTAACTCTCGTGTTGTTTTGAAATGAGAGGTTGTGGTGTTACTGTTCTTGGAGGTACGGGTGGTTAAGGTTTTGGTTTTATTTTTTGGGAACACTCCCCCTTCTGGATCTCACTGAAGATATAGGAGTTGAGATAAAGCATCAGTTTTGAATTAGCTCTTTAATCTAGATAGAGTATCTACACTTTGAAAGTTGTTTAGTATTAGGAAGTGGTTTTGATCATTATGGCTCTATTTTGGTGCCGTTATATTAGTAAAACAAAGTATTTTTAGTAAAACAAAGTATTTTATTTATTAGCAGTGCAATCAATTCATATGATATAATTATAAGAATATAATAGTATGTCACACCTATTTAACTGTTACGTTTGAGTAGTCGTGCCTTGGCTAAATCTAACTAGGACCAGTGGTGTCGATTAACATTTAATAGGTGAGTCTAAGTGACACAAATTGAAAATTTTAAGAAAAGACGGATCAAAACACAGATACAAGGACAAGGAGACCCCACTGCAGGACCATACATGCTATTGGCTTGTGCATGGCCCAAAAAGGTTCCAGTTGTCCAGGAAACTGTACGTAGCTGGTCAACTAGTTTTGAATTCAGACTAGGCTTGATTTGTTCTGGGGTTTCTAGAGGTAAGATTTGATGGTGCCAGGTTTGTTCAGGCGGACATGGAAATTATGCGATGGATATAAAAATCATATCAATATAAAAATAGATCCAAAAATAGATCCAAAGATTCACACGGCAGTCAGGGAACTTCCAGACAGGATGCTTTTGAAACAGGTATAATTAGCGCTTTTGTAATTAATTGTATGCAAGGGATGGGATGCTGATCAACTAAGCTGGTTCAATGCCCCAGCTATTTAGGGGGAGCCACTCAATTTCACGCCCAGGTGTTGTCAATTGCTGGGTTTCCAGTAACAGCTTTTTGATACGGCTCTTGATAATTGAGATGGGGGAGGAAAGGTCGGAAAATTTACTAGAGCTATTTGAGTTAGAAATAATTCTAGTAAATTTTTTGGTGATAGCTACCCCCCTGGCTACGTGCCTGATCAGACCAATCGCAAAAGCTTCTCAGTTTAAATTGATTTTATATAATATTTTGAATAAAGCATACCTGTCGAGTTCTGTTGTCGATGATGACCGTATACCAATGATTACCAGGGTTACCGACCATAGCAATTATATCATACGCCATCGGATCTCCGTATTGTATTATGTCCGAAGTTTTGGCAGTAAAGTGCTCACAACACAGCTTCTGAAGGCTCTAGAAGGTTCCCGATACCGTCAGAGTGTTCAGTACACTGCATTCTATCATATAAGAACCCTAAAAGAAGTCCCAGGGCTCGAGCAAAAAAGCGTGATATTTGCCCGTAACAGCCTCTACTATAGGGATCTTTACTATTAACTGTTTATACTCGACTTTCGGTTCTGATTGATAGCAACTCCGGTAATAAGTTGAGAACTTTAAATTCAAGGAATGTATCATTCTACCTATGAACATTATAAAAGGTTAATAATTATTACAAAGATAATATATGACATTTATATATAAATTTACCTGAACTTCTTAAATTATTGGTATCAGCATAAGGAGCATTACCTCCAGATTTGGGATGGGTTGTGAGGCCCACTACCGATAAATCTGTACCTCCCCTCCTTCTTCGATCGATGAGGTAGCTTTCAATAAATACGCGTAAAAAAGCACTCTTGATACTATACCTTTCATTTTCTGAATATAAGTGAATTATAAAGTAAAATGTTCAATGTAAGCGTAACGGTAATCTTGAAATTGTTGTACAAAATGAAGTATGGAAATTGTGCAAGCAGTCTCTATTTGCTTAAGATTCGTAGATTATTTGTAACCGATATATCTGCACCTCCCCTCCTTCTTCAATCATTGTTGTTTTAGACAGATAGACCTCGCTGTATTGGGGGCTATTTTTTGTTTTTTTTTTCTCTGTGCTCACTCCTACAAAAAACACAACCCCCGAAACGATTCCTTTCATTCTGAATATAAGTGAATTATAAAGTAAGACCTTGAAAATGATGTCCATGAAAATATGTCTGTAATAATTAAGTCCGATAACGTAATTAACAATTAATGCAGAGTATGATTATAATACAATTTATCTCCGAACGTTTAATGTCTATACTTCTAAGGATTAAAATAAAAATAATCTATATAATAAGACCTTCTACTCTTTAATTTGGGTACATACTACATGATATAGAATTACAATTAACATCTCAATATTCCTCAGAATCCCCAAGAAATATTTTCTCACATAAGTTAATAGTCCGAAGTTTACTTTTAACTGTTTTATACTTTAACTTTAAATTACTGAACTTTAAATTCAAGGAACGGTGTATATCATTCTACCTATAAACATTATAAAAGGTTAATAGTTATTACAACTGTTTTTAAATCAGTCAGGACCGCCGGAGAGAGAGTCAGGAGGATATGTTTTTCTTCCTCCTTGTATCTGACAAGTTACCTCTTCAGACGTCTACTCCTGCTTAGTACAACCAGTAAAATAATTATTAGCTGGGATAAAATTCTGTTTACATTACTTTAAATGCCTTGTTAATTATCAACGTGGGATTAACTTTTTAATAGAGTAATTTGAATAATAATTCATAAGCTTATTAATAGGTATCATAAACAGTACACTCTGTCCTGAACTAGGCTGTATGCTATCCAGGGATGGGAAAAGTACCAATCTTCTTTGAATCTGGCAGTTTTCTTCGCATCCCTCATCTCCTCATTCCAAGGGAACTCAATCCCCCTGGGCTGCTTTGGTCCAGTATTTCGAGATCCAATGTCATGAGATGTAACTCTGGACTTCTGGACTGACTCAGGTTTGGTAGTAGATGGGGTTAGGTCTATAAGCGAAATGGTTGTAGGCGGTGTTAGGTATTCAGGTGGGGTTGGGGTGACACTGGCAGGCTCTGGAAGTCGGAAGCTCACGCCTCTCGTTGGTTGTTCGGTGATGAATACGGTGCGGTGCTCGGGGAGGACGGGCTATTAAAATAGGGAGGGGGCTGTATATAATATTTATAGTCCTCTATAGGGTAACAATTTGTGTCACTTCAGCTTTATCCTGCTGATTGAGCGTGGTTGCACGCTTCTTGGTGGGGGCTGCCGTGTTCGCAGTCTTCTTGGTGGGGGCTGCCGTGTTCGCAGTCTTCTTGGTGGGGGCTGCCGTGTTCACAGTCTTCTTGGTGGGGGTGCCGTGGTCGCAGTCTTCTTGGTGGGGGCTGCCGTGTTCGCAGTCTTCTTGGTGGGGGCTGCCGTGTTCGCAGTCTTCTTGGTGGGGGTGCCGTGGTCGCAGGTGCCCCTGCAGGTTTCTCACATTTCCTCTTCTTGTCTGTTATCATTATTGACTTGAAGAATTCTTCATTTACCTTGTCACTCATCCTTTAATTAAGAAGGATTGTGAACATATAATTAACTTAATAGATACCTTTATTCTGGGTAGTGAGCCATGAATTTAAAGTTAGTTTGACTTTGACGAACTGCACTTATAGCATTTTCCTACATTTCCAGTCTCCTGGTTATGGAGGTGGTGGAGGTGCAGGAGGCAGGATGGGCGGCAGCAGCAGGAGCCCGGAGGTCGGTGGAGGCAGCAGCGATTGGAGCTGGAGGGGCAACTGGAGGGGCAATTGGAGGGGTGGCCATAGCCCCTATAGGGACGGGTGGAGGGGCAGGAGTAGTTGGAGGGGCAGCAGCCGACTGCATGTAAAAATTAATAGGGCGGGACGACGCACCTATTGTGTCCAACTTCAGATAGTGTGTCTCTATCCATATATCTGTCTTGGATGGATCTCTCTTCCTGAAGAGATTTTTGGTTTAATCTCGCAGAATTCTTTGGTAGTACATTATTATCTAATATGAAGACAATCATAAATAAAGCTTATCAACTTTATGATAGTGACGACTTACTGGTGGAACCTCGTGTGGCTTTTCCTGTTGCTTTTCGTGAAACCATTCCCAGTTTTCCCTCTTGATCCACAAAGAGAGCAGTAATACCGGTCAGGGTTTTTTGGCATTCTTGCTATGATAAGAGATATGATATTATATATATTTTTAATCCTGAAGATATCTTCTGCTCTAAATGTGGTCTAACGGTTTAACTATGTATTCATACTACACAATATCGTTGTAATTTTTTACTTTTTTGCAGTTGTTTCTCCCATTGAACATTGAGAGAAGTTAATCAACCCTTCGGTTTCAACCCGCTAAAAATATTCAGAAATAATAAGGATAAAGCAGAGTTTTAAAAAGCAGGTCAAGAAACACAATGATTTAAATAAAGATAAAAGAGAAATGAAGACAAAACACAAGTTAGATAAAAATAAAGATTAAGATAAAATAAAAAAGGAGATAATATGAAAGTTAGAAATAACGAAATAAAAAAGAAAAAGATTTAGATTCAAAGATATAAAAATACAAATTGAATCATATTATAAATATAACTATAATATAATAATGATGCGGCTACATTGTACCTCATAGTCACTGCTATTCTTATGTTGTTAACGTCTTCACCATTCTGTCTTGAAGCTTCTAACAAGATCTGTAGCTTTAAAATCTTATTTGAGCTGCATTCCAACATCCTCGTAAAACCACGTAGATTCTGATCTAACGTTACTGTGTTTAGCTGTGTGCTTGAATCCTTAGCGGACTACCCTCGTCTACCCTCTCTAACCACTCCACAATGAAGTTTCCAACTCTATACAGGGACTCTGTATAGGGACTGATCGTGATTGTTACTGAGCTCATATAATAATACTGGTAACCTTTAAACTTGATTAATGTTTACTTCTGACACCATGTAATGATTCTTGTGTAGGTAATAAAACAAGTAGCCGTTTCTGTTAATATGTGTGTTCACAGGACTTGAGTTGTTTACAAGAGAAACTCGCTGGGTTTGAAATAGAAACAGAACCTGTAATAAATAGGATTTATTACACCAATAATATAAACTCAAATAGTTATATCAAGTTCCAATTATCCATTGTAAATATATAGTAGTATATAGATCATTGTAAATATATAGTTTAAAGGAATACGTACCGGTTGATACTCTACAATAACATAAATCCTCTTTTGTGGCAACTGCGTATGATATCTCGGCTATGAGAGGGGTTATTTCCACGTAACAGGTGCACCTCTCCTGTGGGTCGAGGCTGTCTAAGTCAAGAGGTTCCAGATTCCTGTAGAAGTTGAGTGTGCTGCTTGGTTTGCTCTGGATCACTCGTCCTATCATTGTGTGTTCTTACAAGGGCCAGGGGCTAGAAAAAGGGTTTGGGTGTTAATTAGGTTAGTTATTATCGTTTGCAAGTAGATAATAGTGCAATTTGGGCTTGGCATGATTTGCAGTTGGTATTACTGATCATGCGATGCACATTTTAAGGGAAAGGGATTGTAATGATTACTCGTGTAGGTAATAAAACAAGTAGCCGTTTCTTACAGACTAGATCAAATTATAAAGAGGGGTTATCAAACAATTTCTTGTTTCATTGAAAATTTCTTGTTTCATTCAATGAAACTAATAAATCAATGAAACTAATAAATCAATGTTTTAGCTCATTTTACAAAGTCAAATATTTAAAACAATTAAAATTGTATAGTGCTCAATTTGTAAATGACTAGTTGATCTTTGCTATTGGAAGTTTGTCAAGGACTGGCAGCTAGCGGGGCAAGGAATGCACGGGCTTAGGGGCTTTTGTGCACACCAGAACACTAGCTCGGTAGATTTTTGGAAACTAGAAGGACTGAAAACTAAAATTGTTTTTGATGGAGGCTGAGGCATGTTTTTGAGAGGGACGGTATAATAGCTTGTGGTAACAACTGGCCTTTACTTTAATAGGATGAAGTTTTAGTTTTAGGACAGGAAGAAGGCATTAAGAAGATTTGCTGTTTGTTTACAAGGCAGAATATAAGCAATGTTGGTTATAATATGTATCAATATCTAGATCTTCGTTTATCAATTTTCACTAAATGGGTTTAAAATTTTAATAGGGAAGGAAATTCATCAACTTTATTAAGTACCTATCAAAAATAAATCTTATATCAATGTAATATATTAAAAATCATAATCCTAAGTCTAATAATAAATCTGTTAAAAACACTTTCTCACTACACTGCGCTCACACACGTTAGTAAGACAAAGGAAAATGCACACCCAGCTAATTTTCAATTTCAAGATAATCATTTTGGATGTGTGGACCCTAGGGTAGACTTAATGTCAAAATTTAGATTAGAGCATTCGAAATCTTTGTTTGTCCAATCAAGATCAGCATGGTTATGCTGGTTGACGAGCAGTGATTGCTTCATCCTAGACTTCAGGCAGGCCACACTTAGACAGTAGTCACGTATACCAAGCTTAGGCACAATTACGTTCCAAATACGAGTCGTTCTGCTATTGAAGTTGTCAGGGGGGTCTGCTTGGCTTAGTATAAGGGTGGGTTTCCTACTTGAGCAGGTGAAATTTTCATGGAGGGAAATCGGAGCACGGAATTTCATGATTTTATAGAGCTCAAGGAAACAATGGTAAGTGTACAGGTTTTGGACGGCAAGTATTCCGTGTTCCTTGAACAAAGGTTTCGTGTGCTCTTTCAAGAAAAATTTTTTGTTCAGATTTTGGTTGCCAAACGGTCGAGCACGAGCACAGGTCTTAAATTTATCTAGGTATGCCTCCCTGTCGCCAAACAGTACCCTGAGACAATATTTTTGTGCTTTGAATACAGAACTTATACGAGTTTTGGCTGCCCCACCCCAAACAAATCTGGGAGGGAGCAGCGTAGGCGGCAGAGAGTTGATGTTGCATGGCTGAGAGAACGCCTAAGTGATTTTATATGTTCTTCCCAGGTTAGCTTTTCATCGATGACGACTCCCAGAAACTTAGCAGATGCAACTTGTTTTATTGGAAAGTTATCAATGGTTAGAGTATATTCAGAATTATTGTCAGTCTGGGAGGACGATGCTGGTTTAAAGTGAATGAAACAGCATTTAGACAAGTTGACATGGAGTTTGTTTGCTCGCATGTAGGAATATAAACTAGCTAAAAGAGAATTACCACGCATATATGCCTCCTTTTTAGATTTCCCAGTCACAAATATATTGGTGTCATCAGCGAAGGTGACAAATGATCCCAAACTGGAGCTGTTGGCGATATCATTAATATATAGGAGAAATAAGAGAGGTCCAAGAATCGAACCCTGAGGGACTCCAAACTGTATTTTCAAGGCGTCAGATTTCTCACCAACAACTTCAGTATATTGTGATCTATTTGTTAAGTAACTTTTTATAAGATCATTTGCCACCCCACGTATCCCATAGCCCTGTAATTTGACAAGTAATGTACCATGATCTATTGTATCAAAAGCTTTGCTAAGGTCTATGAATATGCCTAAGACATGATGCTTAAGTTTTAGAGATTCAGTTATAAGGTTTACTGAGTGATTAACTGCATGTGAAGTAGAGTGTGACTGCCTGAAGCCAAATTGTGTTTTAGATATTATACCCTGTGAGCTAGCAAACGAATATATTCTTGAGTAAATGATCTTTTCAAAGATTTTACCAAATATAGAGAGAGTAGAGATTGGGCGGTAGTTTTCTATCTCTTCAGGGTTTCCCTTCTTAAATACAGGAGTTATTCTACCAGTCTTTAGAACGTCGGGGAACGTGCCATTAGACATTAAGATGTTGATGTATCGACTAAGGATCGGTGTAATTACGTGAGATGATCTTTTGATTACACTAACAGGAATATCACTTGCTTTTCCATTTTCAAATCCTTTTATTATTTCCGTTATCTCATAAGGTGTACAGTCTTCTAACATAATCGATTTTTCATTAGTCTTTCCAAGGAAATCATAGAATGTTTTTATAGGGAGAATTGGTAAACCAGAGGCCTCACTGCTACTAAGTGTTTCATTGAGCTTAGGGGCAATAGAAACAAAGTAAGAGTTGAATCCATTGGCTATGACTCTACGATTCATGATTCGTTCGTTGTTTATGATAAAGGGAGGCTTAGTTTGCTTCTTTTTCTTGCCCCTGAGCTCATTGATTATCTGCCACGTTTTTTTGCTGTTTTCTATATTTTTATGGATTTCATTGCAGTAGTACGATCGTTTGGCGACCTTGATAATACTTTTAAGCATTCTTCGGTAGTCACTGAAGACTTTATAGAGCAGTACATTACCCTCAGGGTTTCTATTTGTTACAGTGCTTGACCAGTCTCTACAGAGTTCATGTTTTCTTTCAACTGAGACAATGATTCCATCGGTAATCCACGGGTTGAGTTTGGGAGTCCTTTTGGTAACTTTTGGTACATCAAGCTTACAGTGTTTATCAAGTGTTTCATTGAAGCAGTCCAAGAACTCATTGAAGTTTACCGAGGGAGTCAAGTCATTCACCTTCACCTCGAGTTCATTAACAAAATTAGTGAGTTTGGAACTTGAATAATCATAGTAGCGAACATGTTTAAGTTTTTCAGTACTGTTTTCGGTAGGAATTGACGTGAAGGTGAATATAAAGGCATGGTCACCAATCCTATCATTCAATACACCGGAGAGAAGTACATGATCTATCTCTGATGTGAGGATATTGTCAATACATGAGTTTTTACAGTTAGGACGGAAGTGGGTAGCAAGTGATATAGTAGGATACATATTGTTACGAAGTAACGTGTCCTCAAATAGCTGGCTGGAGGTTTGTACATTGAGGAGGTTAGAGTTAAAATCGCCAAGAATATGGAACTTTTTACCAGCCAACTGCTTAGATATATCCTCAAGAGTTTGACAAAAGGTCTCACTACAGCCATTTGGAGGACGATAAGCAACCCCATATGTCAGTTTATCACCCGAGCTAAGAGTAATTTCAACAAATAAGCACTCAATATCTTTTGTACAGTGAGATAGATTTTCGATTACTACAGCATTCAGGCGATCAGAGACATATAAGGATACTCCTGTTCCTTTTTTCTTATCAGGGAATGGTACTTGACAAAATGTTGTATAGGAGGGGATTTGGTATAAGCCTTGTTGGCTTGGATCGATGTTGGTCTCAGCCAATCCAATGACATCAAAATTACACGGGAGGGTCTTATGTTCTATTAAAAAGCTGTCAAAATTACTAGCAAACCCATCTATATTGCAAAACAGAGCGGGCAGATAAGCCCGCTTGAATAGGTTAGTACAAGGGATTGAATAGGTTAGTACATATGAAGAATCAATATAATATAATACTACAACACTGTTGCTTGGACACACTTCGTTTCTATTGATTTGACAATTTCATCACTGCTTATATACAAATCTGAACCAGGTTGATTTACTTACAGTAAATTCGCTGTCATCAGGTGATAATACGCAATAAGATGGGACTAAGTCATCTATGACTATAAGGATGGTGTTCTGTTTTTCGTCCTCGTCGCCATTTTGCTGTTTGTCTTTCAATAATACACAGGTTTAAACTAAAAACCAAAACTCAGGTTTATTATCATCCTGGAATATTATTATATTATAAATCAATTATACAATAGCTTAATAAATAAATATTTAATTTAAGCTTGTATATATAGCAGGCGGTGAAAATAGTTCAAAATGATCGTCAAGAACAACTGTACACTTAACACTAGACTTGTGCCACAAAGATTCCTAAAATTCCAAATCCAGGAACTGGATTAGGTCCTGAAATATATAACTACGATTAAGGGTATTATTTGAGATAGGTATACCATAGTTGAATTATAATAAATTCAACTCGTTCTGAATAAAAGTCTGGAATAATTTGTCTGATTAATAGTGTAACATAGGCTGTTCTAAATATTTAATCATTTTAATTTTATCACGTCTTAAGGATTTTAGCAGTCCACGAATTAGAAATATGGAGCTTGATACGTGTGGTAGTTGCAGCAGTCATGACGACATGACGTGTTAATGATAATCCAAAATGTATCTTACCTTCACTACCGAGATGACATTGGCATCATAAATGATACCATCCTTGAATGGGTTCGTCAAAACGATGTCCCCTACTGACCAAACATTAGCGCTTCCCTGGTGGATGATCATGTCTTTATCATTACATAATTGACAACTTGAAACAATACCATACAAATAATTAAACAAATGACACGTACCGTCACGTGTCCCACTACAAGTACAACAATGATTAAATAAATTAAAATAAAGTGAATCCGCCGAGAACCTGGGGTATTACCAAAATTTGTGTAATACAAAATTAAAGTATTATTATTACCTTCATGAAAGTGTTCATGATATGGAACCCACCATAACCAAAGTGAAACCTATGGGTTTCACCATCTTTTTCGTTCTTTCTAGACGCCTGTGCACTGATAAATCTGTTTTCTGTAAGCTCATCACCAGTTACACAAGTTTCTATCATATGCAAAGTTTATTTTTGTCTAAGAAAAAAAAAACATTTCTGTTCAATTACAACTAAATTATTTCACTATTATAAACATGATAATATTGTTATTCTAGTACTATTAACGTTGGTAGAATAACGATAATTTATATTCAATATAACGTTAACAATAGTCAAGGCAGATAAAGTTTTACCTAATTTATAATCAGGTTGCATGGAACTATTTTGGTAAGCTCAGTCAGTATCTGAGCGGATTCAGATGTACTCATTTGATAGTGATCAAGTGCTTCCAAACAAAACTGGAATAATTCATAGTCATAACATAACTTACGTTACATGTATAACCAGTTCCTCTGTATAATATATAATTATATTCCTTTTTGCAGTGGTCTTACTTCTTGTGGTTCTGTCAGGATCAAGCAAAGTTTGAAAAACAGATAAAGAAATACGATGATCTAAATAAACATAAAAGAAAAATGAAGTAACATCAAAATAAAGATTAAGATATTTTGATAAAGAAGATATGGAGGTTAAAAATAGCGAGATAATAAAGAAAAAGATTCAGATCGAAAGATATAAAGATGTAATAAGATATAAAGATATTATATAAAGATATAAATAATAATAATAAGAAAGATATCTAATAAAGGTAAAAATAAGTTTAGCTTGGTTTCTGCTCATTTCCTCAAGCGTCTGTCCCTGCACGCATCCACTGTAGCTGTAACAGTACAGACTAGCCAACCAGATTCACAAAAACGAATATAAATCACGTGACACTGCTTTAATGACCAATCAGAGGCGCTCTTTTTTACCACGTGACAACTGTGCAGAATATATATTTTTTGCAGCCAAATCAGCACGAATATAACTACTATATTATGGTTGTATGGTGTTATATAGGCGATAAGGCCTATCACAAAAACATGGTGTCATTCACCAATGATAAAATACCAGGGCCGGTCAAACTACCTCAAGACTTTACCCTCAACCAGCAACCTAGAGCTTATTGTCACACAAGCTGTAAAAATGGCAGGAAGAAGAGAGTACCTGCAGCTGGCCACAAAAAACAGTACAGACTCTGCCTGGTTGCCAGGGGTTGCCTCATCGCCTATATAATAACACCATACAACCATAGAATGCCGTGACTCCCTCATCACCGATGCAGTGTTGCTGATGATTCTGGGCCTTCCCCGAACTCACTTTCCCCGGAACGGGCTCCCTGTGGGCCAGGTGTGAAAAAACCTACGTGATATTCATTGATTAACGCGAGCTATGTGATGCGAGAATCGTGGTTTTGATTAGATGAGTTAAGATTAAAACTATAGTGAAACAAGGTTTACAGATGCGATGTTTTGTGGTAGGAGCCGGCAAGTTGAACAGAGGTTGCAATTTGAATTTTTATTAAAAAGGATTGAAATTAATAAATGACAACTGTTAAAAATTCAAAGATTTATATAATATTTGAATATATGGGGGGCCATATATTTAAATATAAACCATATTATGACTTGGTTACCATCTTCTTCTCCAGGCTCTTCAAGAAGGTTTCAAATTTTCCTTCTATCAGTGCTGTCCTCACGTTAGCAGATTTACTCACCAAACAAGCTTACATGATTAAGTTCTGGAATTCGTCCTTGTTGGCGATCTATCCGTTATCAGTTATTCGTCTGATACATCCACGTGAAGTGCTGTTTCGAAGCTATCGTCGCTGCAGTTCTCTCTATACCTTGTCCCAAAGATTTCCCACACCGTCTCAAACACTGCAACAATGTTTACCTATTAAAAACAATGCCTGAGAGAAACCTTGTCCCCAAGATTTCTCTCAATTCTATTAAAAAGGATTGAAACTAATAAATGACAACTGTTAAAAATTTAAAGATTTATATAATATTTGAATATATAAACCATATTATGACTTGGTTACCATCTTCTTCTCCAGGCTCTTCAAGAAGTTTTCAAATTTTCCTTCTTTCAGTGCAGCTGTCCTCATGTTAGCAAATCTATCCTTGTTTGCGAATCTATCTGTTATCAGTTCTTCGTCTGATAAATCCCCTTAAAGTGCTGCGTCGAAGCTATCTTCGTTGCAGTTTTCTATATACCTTGTCCCCAAGATTTCCCACACCGTCTCAAACACGGCAACAATGCTTACCTATTAAAAAGGATTGAAATTAACTTTATAAATGACAATATATATTATATAAAAAGAAGCAGTGCAGCTCTAGCTGTCTCAAATGTCAAAGATACTACCTGTACCACGTCTACGGTTCTGATGTTTAATGGCTCTTGCAAAAGCATTTCCACTAAACCTCCTGAATACACAGTACACACTCATTAAATAAAATCCTATTAAAGTCTATTATCCTCTTGTTAGTTAATCTGTCACTTTAGGTTGCTTGTTTATATGAAACACCGAAAGAGATAAAAACCACCATATTGAGTATCAGCCTAGCAGGTAGTGATAATGCGGTTATACAGCAGTAAAATACGCAGGGTGGATGTAGGACACTGTTGGGGTCATACATCTCTTATATGCCTCCGACCTCCCACAAAACAATACCAATTTCTAACACAATAAAATAAATCGCAAAAACAATCACCACAGCAATAGCCCGGGAACTCCCCGGGCAGACCCCTCCCCGGGCTGATCCGAGGGTGAATAGAGGTCGAATGTGCACACACCTATTGAATTTAGAATGCTGAAAGGTACCACATTGAGCTGCGGTGGAGCTGAACACCGATGCAGTGTTGCTGATGATTCTGGGCCTTCCCCGAACTCACTTTCCCCGGAACGGGCTCCCTGTGGGCCAGGTGTGAAATAGCCTGTAATTTATTGTTCTAATAAACAATACTACTCAATGTTCTTGAAGATGCTGGCTGTACTAGTGATGAAATTAGGATGGTACGGCTCCTACTATCAAACACAGTGTTGAAAGTAAAAGTCAATAATACTGTATCAATTGAGTTCCAAAGCACAACTGGAGCATTTCAAGGAGATGCACTATCAGGTAATCTATTTACTGTTGTTGAAGCCGCTGCACTTATTCACCTCAGATCTATACTCTCCCAAGTATCATCAACACCTTACCCAGTGAATCATCCAATCCCTAATCCTCCTATCTCAGAAGAATTCATGCCACTCGAAACAGGATACTCTGATGATATTGACTTTAATAACACTGAACTTGCTCCACTCAAAGAAATGCTTCCTATCGCTAAAGATATATTCCAGCAGTGGGACCTTCATATCAATCCTTCCAAGACTGAATTTGTCCATTTTTATTTAGCAGATCCTAAACCCACTGTTAAACGCAAGGTGATTGTTGGAAAAGTGTATAGAGGTGATGAAGAGTGGCGCTCTAACAAAACTTTAGGATCGTTGATGTGCACTGTTAAGGATATCAAGAATCGAATATTTCTTGGTAATGTTGCCTTTAGTAAATTTCAGAAAGTTTGGATGAAGAGCAAGATTTCAGTCCAAAGGAAGATCAAAATCTACGAGGCACAAGTAGTCTCCATTCTACTCTACAACTGCAACTCCTGGGCTGCACCACTAGCTTCGTTGAATGAACTTGACATTGCTCATCGCAAACACCTCCGAAGAATCCTCAACATCAGATGGCCTACTGGGGTTATTTCTAATGAGGCACTCTATGCTCGTTGTTATGTCACTCCCTTGTCTGTGAGAGTCTCTAAGTTTCGATGGAGAATGTTAGGACATATCTTAAGAGGACAGGAAGACTCACCAGCATACACCTCTATGTTATTTGCTATAAATTCTGATATTTTTATGGAAGGGAGACGGGGTAGACCATGTTTAAACTTATTAGATGTTATTAGAAAAGACTTGACTAGTAGAAATCTTGATATTAGACTTAAGAATTTGACTGATTTCGAAGACCTTAGATTTTTAGCTTTAGATAGGGAGGAGTGGAAGAAGTTAGAAGATGGTTGATGTTTTGTTTTCTTTTTTATGCGTTTTGATATCTATAAGGTGCCTAGGATGCTCTTTTAAAGAGATATTTCGTACTTTGAAAGATTTTCTACTACTACTACTACTCTAATAAACTAATAAAACACAAGAAATTATTACTAGAAGACTATTAATTACTTATATTTATGTCCTGAAATATGTAACGGGGTTTTAGATTATTATTTGAAATAGGTATATCTTAGTTGAATTATAATGAAATCAACTCATTCTAAATAAAAGTCAATATGATAAAACTACTTATGTATATTAATATACATACTGTATAGTGTATATGCAATGAAAGTCATGATAAAAACTAGTCCAGAAAACAATAGGTTACTCACCCCTGGTTTTCCCCTTGCTCGTCCCCGGTTTGGAAACTGGTCGCTTTTTCTTTGAGGGGGGTGATAGTTTCTGGACTTAGAACACTTTTAAAGTGTTGTACCCACTAGATGTTGCCGCTATATGCCCTCCAACTGATCTCCATTCTGAAATAACATTTTTTTTTATTCATGAGAAAACATGTTTTTCTCTCTCAGTAGGTTTTTCTAACTAAGATGAAGATTTGTTTATTCATTAAAGTTTCCTATTTTTATTTAAGGATTAATCACTACTATAAAAATCATTTGTGAATCATATATTTAAAACAAAATAATATCCACTTACGGTGAAGGTGTGAAGAGCTCTTCCCCTCCAATGGAAAGTACGTGCATACTTCCGTATGCTCGCCGACAATGGCGAACATGAGCATGGGCTTTCCCTGTCGTGTAGATTTACTCCTTAAAAACTTTATAGTCCCCTTCACGTAGACATAACGTTTAGGGGTTTCCGCAGGTGCATGAACTTCCATTTTTAAGGAAACATCAAATCAATATAAGAAACAACATGAAAATAACTCAATATTAGTTCATAGAGTCCATATAAAACATATCGTTTCTCTTGAACATCCATTACTAAGGAAACATTAAATCTATATAAGAAGTCTTCATCTTACACATCATACCATGAGGATGACTCTCCTGAGTTTGTTGGTGTTGTTGAGGACTGT